AAATTTTAAAATATGCAGGCAAATTTGCCTGTGTTACAATCTAAGGGATAGTGTTGCTCGTTGTTGTTAATACTGGCTACGTGCACTTTGTTATTTCTAGAACTATCTGTTGAAACATGTGGTTTGTTGTTTGTTTATTCGTTCTAGAATCGTCTGTTGCTACACGTAATTGTTGTTTTTGATTTACGTGTTTTGCTTGTTTGTTTTGTTTGTTTTTTGTACTACCGTTGGTGATCTGCATTCAGGGTCAAATGGTTCGCCCACTTTTTGTCAAAATTTTCTTTAAAATTTTTAGTTTCCTTGAGTATTTCCTTTGTTGCAAGTTCGATTTAGTTTGTTTCTAAGCTAGATGCCTGTTGTTTTTGTTGCTCTTCCTTTTTTTCTAAGGCCTTATCAGGTGTTTTCTATATCTTTTACTGAGTTTTGGCTGTTTTGTTTTCTGTTTGTTTTCTGTTTGTTTATGTACAAGTAATTAGCAGGAAGAGTTGATGTTGTTTGTATTTGTATTACTAATTACCAATTTGTATTTCTTTATATAATATTTCTGTTATATAAATATTTTAAATCTTTTAATCTTGCTAGTACAACTATAGTTACAGATATTCTATTTTAACTGATTAACTAAATATAGTTAGCTATAATACAAGCAAAATTTTTAAATTTTTATCACTAGTAGAATTTAAACTCTTAATATATTGTTTGGAGTAATAATATATATATTAAATATAAATAGTATTTAGAAATATAAAGATATATTTTAATAAAGTCTTTTTTTAATATATTTAAAATTTAAATATTTAATTTGTAATTTGTATAACAATAGAACAAATTAATTAGATTGCAAATATAATAATCAGGGTTATTAAAATATATAAGATACCAAGTCAAGCCTGAATTTTTTTTACTTACAATTAAAATAATAGCAAAACGCAAAAATTATAAAACAACACTTATTTCTATTGGCAAAATAGTACCAGAAATACATTATGGAGCCTTTTCTCATAAATAGTGATTTATAGTTAAAAATGATTCAAATAATCAAATGATAATGCTTTTTCCAATAAGAATAGGCATGAAAACACTTGTAGAACTTAATAGACATGAGTTTTTTATTAATATTTTAGAACCTAATATAGAAGATTCTCCAAGTCCAAGATATTAAGCATTCTGTGGTTTAGCATATAGTGAAATATATACATCTTCTTCAGCTGCTATAACTTCGTTATATCAACAATTATTTGGTACAAAAACAAAATTTTTTGGACCACTTGTTATGGGATTTGATCAATTAGATATTGTGAAACAATTAATAGAAGATATTAACTTTTAACCTTTTGAGTTTTATTTGAATCAATTGCAAATAGTAGTTTTTAGAATTAGTATATCAAAAAATCAAGATTGGAATTATGCTGAAACCGGTTATTAATCATCATTCATTAACAATATAGGAAAAAAACATCTTTTATATGTTCAAAGTTTTATTACTAGCAAATATAATATTACAATTTATGAAGACAACAAAATCAAAACTATTATTAATGAAATAACACCAACAGATACTTGGTTAAAAATAGATCATAAGCCTGAATTTGATGCTAATGAATTGTTTGGTATTAGTAATTCACATGTATGAAAATTAATAAGTGAATTACGAATAGCATCATGCATATCAGAAGAATAGAATAATGAAATTTTACTAGAACAAATTTTTCGATACTATTTAAAAAAATGAACAAAATTTGATATTAATTGGATAGAATTTATTTGTAATTAGAAAAATCAAGAAAGCGAAATTATTAAATTGAGAACTTCTTTAGCACAATTATACAAATTTAAATATCAAATAAACTCAAAAGGTTAAAAGTTAATATCTTCTATTAATTGTTTCACAATATCTAATTGATCAAATCCCATAACAAGT